TACGAGGAAGGGGAAAACTGTCCTTCGGGCAAGGTTTGTTAAGGTCAGTGAAATCCACACAGACCCGCCACTTGCCGTTTTTCTTCTTGACGACCACCGGGTTGCGAGCCAATCCGGATATTTTACTTCGGCGATTGATCCGGCCTTTAGAAGTTTATCTACTTCGTCGTGGACGGCTTGTGCTCGCTCAGGTCCCAACTTTCGTCGCTTTTGTTTGATCGGCTTGAAGGTTGGGTCGACGTTCAATTCGTGACTCGTTATTCGGGGGCTAATACCCTTCATGTCGGCCATGGACCACGCAAACGTTGCGACGTTTTCTTGGAGGAAACTGATCAGCTCGTCCTGCATGCTAGGCAATAGTTCCGTGCCGATACCGACGCAACGTTCTAGGTGGGCAGGATCGATGTTGACTTGGGTGATAAGATCACTCTTCGGCTGGTCGTCGTGATGAACGATCCGTGGGTCAAAATTGCTACTACTACCGATCACGAACGTTGATGCCTTTCAGGCGCGCTTGTTGTCGATGTAACAATGTCGGGACACTGTCTGGTCACCACGGATGGTGATGACACGGCCCCTGATCGGCATCTTGATGCATTGATGGTAAGGAGAAGGGACGGCTCACATGGCGTTCAGCCATGGTGTTCCAATGATAGCATTGTAGATCGCAGGTCGGTCAATAACCTCGAATTTGACCGTAATTGACTTTCCGCATATGGTGACAGGCATCGTTATAGTTCCTATTGTCGAAATCGAGTCTCCGGCGAATCCTGTGAGTGGTGATGGTGCGACTTTGATGTCCCGCTCGGGGATACTCATCTTGCGTAGAGTATCCATGAAGATGAGGTCGACCGAACTTCCAGTGTCGATCAACACTTTGGAGACGTCGTCCTCTCCGAGTTGTAGTGAGATGACGAGTGGATTGTTATGAGGTCGGTCGATGTCACGCGCATCCTGCTTTGTGAATGTGATCGGTAGGTCGTCTTTGAACAGTAGTGGTGCGTCCTTTGGGGGACTGGCTGCCTTCCGTTCGTGCTGTTTAATGGAATTTATCGAGTCGGTGCACGAGAGGAGCCCTCCCATGATCATGTTGATCCGCCGACGTGGTGAATTCGGAGGTGTGTGATCGTCTTCACGGTCACGCTTTGCTTCCTTGCCCTCGCGTTTAGAAGAGCGATCGGTGTTAGCTCTTCTGTCGCGATCGTCATCGGGTCGCCTGTCCTCATCGTCGGATCGTCGTGAACTCCGGGGTTCTGGAAGGGTGATCTTGCCATCGTCCCATCTCTTCCTCAAGAGGGCTGGGAGGGTGCGGCAATCATCGGTATGATGACCGTGCGCCCTATGGTATTTGCACCACGGCTTTTTGCTGTCGGGGTCTCTATCGCTCGAGCGGTCCCACACGTTCCAAGGCTTTTTTGGTCGTGCAACTGCGTTGACGCTCTTGCGGTTCTTGTCATCCTTGTCGTAGTGCTGACGGGGCTCTTTGTAATTTTCCTGACTTGACGATCTGCCCTTTTTGTCGCGTGAAGATTTTTCATTGGCCAACTTGGCCTTGGCCTTGGCTGCCCGGTCCTCCTCGACTCTAATGTACCCGGATGCCTTGTGCAAAGCATCTTCGAGGGTTTTGGTTTTTCCTGTCTTCAATCGTTCACAAAACGATGAATCATCCCTTAAATTCTTGATAAGGATATTGAAACACAGTTCGTCCGACAGACTGCACCGGGAGACGATCGATCGGAATCGATCGATAAAATCGCGCAGCGGTTCCGTGTCGCCCTGGACGCATGCCCATAGATCGAGCGCTGTGGACTCCGTGTCGATGTAAATCGAGTAATGCTTCAGGAACCGAGCTGTGATCTCCTTGAAGCTGTCGATGGAGTTCTTGGGAAGCTGTGAGAACCAAGTGAGGGCGCTCCCGGAGAGCATCTCCACAAAGTATTGACAGAGGCATGCTTCCCGTTCCTCATCGGTGAAGCGAGCACGTCCCATGACTGCGTTGAACGCGGTCAGGTGCTGCTTCGGGTCTGTCGTGCCGGAGTAACTCGGAGGTAGCTTCATCCGGCCTATGTCCTTGAGAGGAGCGCTGGTGATGGCCGATGTGAACGGGGTCTGTTGGGTCTCCTGGAGGATCTTGTCCAATTCTGAGGTTGTTGCCTTGTGGATCTTGCTGTGGATATCGTCAAGGCGTTGGTGGAGAAGACCAAGCTCTGAGGCCGTCGTCGGGTCGGTACCTGCGGTATTGCACGACGAACGAGCGTTCGAGCCTTCTGCCTGTGCTCTCTGCAGGTCGTCTGTCGGTGTCGTGCCGAACAGGTTGTTGACTAACCTGGTTGTATCTCTGTTGCGGATCGGAAGGCGGGGAGGGGTGATTAGATTGGCCTGCTCTTGGGTATGAACTCTAGAGTTGAGAAGCTGATCTAGGTCTTCTCTGTAGGCTATTTGCTCGGCACAGAGGGATTCGAAGCGAGCATCCATCCCTTGCTGCAACTGCTCTGCGACTGACCTGATGATGGTGGCCATGTCGATGGGCTGTGGCTGTGGTAGGCCGGTCGTGTTTGTGCCACCAGTCTGACCGACCTGATCTGTCCCTCTGTTCCGCGCGGTAGTTGTGTTGTCTTCCTGATCGGTCTGGTGGCCCATCGGAGGTCCGGTGGCTGAGTCGACGATCAGATCCTGGGTGTTTCTTGTCGGATCGGAGGCTCCTTCGGTGAGGTCGGTAATGTTGATCGGTGTTTCAACCATCTTCGAACTCCGTTCTAAGTCAAAGATTGCTCTTTTAATTCCCCTCAGACGGCGCCAACTGTAAAAACTCAAGTCCGACTTATAGAAGAACTAGAGTTTGAGGGTTTTAAAGAGATCTTTTTATTAGAAAAAGCCGGAGCTTAGTTGAATACAATGATGTTTAGGTCGTCGGAATAAGAACGTCGACCTAAAACTTTCAGGAAAATAAACCAAAAGCTAGAACAGTCTGATTGCTTAGTTTGCTCTAGGTCTTGATGATTTTTCCGATCATTGAGAAGTCGAGGACTTCCTTTATTTATAGCCGATTAGGTCGGTCTTCCACCTGTTCGGAATAGGTAACTCTTGTCGGTAAAGAGTTTCCTTCCGGGTCGCTCGATAAATGGAAGCTTTTCTTTTATGTTGCCGACTTGAAAATTGTTAAATGGGCCGACTAGGATTCATATCGGGCTTGTTAGAGACGGTACGAATCTCATCTCTAACAAAAGAGTTTGCAGAAGCGAGAGATTGCAGATTATAAAAATTTGACGAAGAGTTTCCGAAGAATTTTATAAAATATGATTTCACGAATTTTATAATCCTAATTTATTATATTTTTATTGAGAAACTATATTTCATAAAACGCTGAAAAATATTTTTTTTTATTAAATACAAAACGATAGAAACGGTTTTCATGATTGTTGTTAAACACCAATAACTGCATCATGTTAAAACATAACGTTTGTAGAAAATATCACATAAATATTAAGTTCACTCATTTCTAACTCATACCTACATGCATAACTCGCATGCAACTTGTCCTGCATAGATTTTGTTAACCTCGATTACACTCTAATTTTTATTTTAGTTATTAGACAATTTATATTTTTTTAAAAAATATTTATATGTCTTAAAAATATTTAGAAGTCCGATTTAAAGGTCCCGACCTGAGTAAGGGTGAATCGAAGAGGACGACCTGAGTAAGGGCGAATCGAAGAGGACGATCTGAGTAAAGGCGAATCGAAGAGGATGACCTGAGTAAGGGCGAATCGAAGAGGACAACCTGAAGGGATCTCAAAGCTACAGTCTGATTTAAAGATGGCAGTCTGAAGCGAGTTGATGACCCTGATCTGATTGCAAAATGCAGAGCCCGATCTGGTTATTAGATGGAGACCTCAATATGAAGCGTTTTCAAGTAGACGAACTGAAACGAACTTGCAGGGACAAGCTGTGTCGGTCTTTTCTTCACAAGTTTGTCATCCCCCTTTTTTGGAGCTTAGGAGCTCAATTTTTCGGAGAGGGTCGATGGGCCAAGGTGCAGTGTTTTGTTCGGTGAGACCGGTGGTATTAGGATTGATGGGTGGTGTTTCGACCATCTTCGAGCTTCACTTCTTTTAAAGATCTCTTATTCCCCACAGACGGCGCCAACTAGGCTTACTTTCCTAAAAAGTTCTAGGTCGGTGTTCTTATGCCGACGACCTAAACCACCGTGTATCTTTTCGAGTTCCGGCTTATGCTTAATAAAGATATTTCTTTAAACTCACTAACTCCTGTTCTTTCTTTAGACCGAATTTGAGTTATCACAGAAAGAAGTTCTGCAAAACCTACGAAACAGTATATAGATCGACTTTTGGGTCCATTTAGTTCATTGGAAAATTGCTCTACAAAACTCTAAGTATATAATTTTGGTTAACCGATCTGAGTATCGGGTGAGAACCGGAACCGACCTTGTATCTACGATTCTTAAATTTAATATTTGTTAGGTAATTTGATAATAATCAAACCCGATCCAAATCGATTATTTCAGATGGTTCTGATTTAGGTTTTCGGATCCGGATTTTTTGTCCAGGGCCTAGTTTGGTAGAGTTCACATGGGCTTTTCGAGTCTAACACATATAGAATCACCAATTTATTATTTGTTGATTTATAAACGAGTTCTATTTTAGTCTCCATTAGTGTTAAACATTTTAAATTGCGATATCGCTAGATTCTATTTTGTGCACCGATATATTTTTGTTGCCAACGATTTTATAAATTTAACTTTTCCCATAATCAATCAATGAATTTTATTAACATTATACATTATTATCAAGAGTATCAAATAAATTAAAATAATTAACAATAAAAAAAAGTTCCTACAGGGAACAAAATGAGGTTATACCAATTCTTGATTTCCTCCAACTTTCTTCTTCAATACAAATAAATAAAAACGAAAGAATCAATCAATTTCTGAAGCTACACCGAACTGGCCACCATTACCAGACCCGTCGTCAGTTTGCTAGTTAATGACCGGGTCCACTCGAGCTGGGACCGGAGTGCGTACCATATACAAGCGGCTCACTACGGTCCACGAACTTATGACCCTCACCACCAGAGCTAGGACCCGATTCCTTGATTGCCCCAAGTGACAAACCATCAAAGAACTTAGCCACGAGCTTCTCTTCAGCCTTCGTTAACCGGTTTAACGGTCGAGCCTCCACCACAAGAACCGAACCGACCAACATGAAAATCAGAATCGAACTTAGAATAACTTTGTTCATCATCATTTTCTTTTGAGTAATTCAAACAAAAAAGTCTTTGTTCTTTTTTATATTTAACTGACGAATCGAGATGATGAAAATTGTTGTGAAGAGTTTGTAGACTTGGAGTTGGGTTATATAGTACTGTGAATAGCCTTGAAGGATAAGACAAGTTTGAATTTCGTTAGTTTTGACTTCGTAAGTTTAGAATTCAACAGAACGCTACTTCCTCGGAAAATACCGAGGTTGCTTCTTGTTCTTGGTCGCCATATTTAATATAAAATGGGACCCTTAAAAAATTATATATTTTGCAAAAATAAAAAGCCATCAACGAGGAATGGATCTTAATTAGTTTGGAGCAGACAATTTGCACAAATTCGTCTCTGATTCTTTGGAGCAGACTTTTAGTCTTTTAGTTGTAGATCATTAAAAAATCAAAATTGTTTGGAATTCAAATCTAGTGTACTGTACACTAATTTATTTTAATTTATTTCGCCGGGAAAAGTTTGTGTTATATTATTATACTATTAATTAAGTGACAAAATCTAAAGTCGCAGTTGTTGACTTGTTGTAAGCGAAAGTACATTCATTAGTTTAAATAATTCCATAATCAAATAAATACCTTTAATCAACGATATTACAAATCATAAAATATTTAACTTATATAACCAATTAACGGTCGAAGTAGTTTTTAGTGGAATATTACTGTTGTTTGGATTTGTCTTAATCAACTTGATCGATGTTTCAAAAGTTCAAGCACCAAGCTGCCTACTATTTTTCTTGTTTCTCTCACGTTGTTGTTTTAAATTTCCATTCAAAGTAGCCTAGTTTGAAAAGTGAAGTATTCGTTGATAATTTTTTTTTTTTTTTTTGATTTTTCAACCTCTTACTGTATTTTTTCAAAACCACTGTTAAAAGAGAATGTGCACTGGGTGTTAATGGAAAATTCAAAAATTAGGTAAATAACAGATTTTATTTTGAAAAATAGTTGACTAAAGGAAAAAAATTTATTTTCTCTATTACACAGTAGAATCACTATAAATTAATATTCTATAAATTAATAAACTCGATAAATTAATAATTTTGTTCAGTCTTTAGTTGAACTGGTTCAAAATTTAATACAAATCGATAAATTAATAAAATATCAATTTTTTTTTAAAACCTATGTAAATTATAGTCTTATTAATATAATATAAAATAATCTTATATAAACATATAATTATGAGTATATTGTTATTTTTTATATTAAAATTGAGTCATTTTATTATTTATCTCTAATTTTATAATAATTGTTTTTAGAAAATATTATAAAATTTAAAGAAAATATCATTTTTATTTAAATATTAATATCTAATTTATTTTATTAAAACAGATAAATTAATAATTCTATAAATTAAGAAAATATCAAAATCCCAATGTAATTAATTTATAGAGTTTCTGCTGTATCTTTTCCTTCTCCTCACTCATCTTATAATTTTTCTCACTTTTGTTTATCCGTTTTATGAGTTTTAGCATTTTCGTGGTAAATATTACTGAACTTTTCAGTATGAAAGGTTCTCTCATGAAAAATATAGTCATGTTAGGAAAAAAAGAACTACTTGATTTGACACAAAACGATCATAGTTTTTCTTCATAAAATTCCAGCAAAGTTTCTGCACGAGGCAAGATAAACATATAGTATCATGCTAGAGTACAAATTACAAAAGAACTGATAGGTGAAAAAAAAATTGTGATGATGCTAATCCATATTATTATTTACCGAATAAATATATGTTTAAAAATAAACCAAGTGTTATATTATATGATATGTCACTGGTTTCATTATTTTTTCTAAAATATTATTAATGGTAATTTAATCATTTGTTAATACTTAATACAAGCAATTGATTTTTATTTTCATTTCTCTTTATTTAATTTTATATACCTATTACCAAATATTTTGGTTTTCAGATATTATTTAATTTAGTTAAACTATAATTACCAATTACCTTTAAATAATTTAAATTTTCCATAAATAATTATTTCTAAAATTCTAATTAATCTTAGAATTAATTACATTCAAGTTTATATAAAAAGAAATGACAATTATAATTACTATATATGTACAAGATTGAATTATAAACATTTATAAAACAAAAAATATAACAAATTTTTTTTAATATATATTTATTATTATGCATCAATATAATAGGCCAAACACATATGTTTACAAGCAGGTAACAATTATAATTATTATAAATATATCTAATTAAATTATATAGATTTAAAAAATGTAAAACATATTGCAAAAAAATATTACACAAATAAAAATCATATTCTTATTATTATGCAATAATATAATAGACTAAACACATATGTTTGTAGGCAAATAGATTAAGACATCATTTTATAAATAATTATATATTATTTATTGTATATTTAGTGCAATCTAATATCAATTCAATTTTAAATTAAACTAATTCAAATTTATAAGCACCATGTTTAATTAATAGTAAATGACAATAACCATAAAATCTAATTCAAATTATATATAGTTCTGTTAAATATCTTATTAATCAATTGCACTAAATATTGTGATATTTTATTAACACTCGACCACCAAGATTATAGAGCAAGCTTTCCATATAAAAATAAAAAAGTTAATTAAGAAACTGTATCTGCATAAATTTAAAGAATATTCTCAAAACATGGATTTTAGCATATTTTTAAAAATATTCTCATAATCTGTGCAAATTAATAAAAACTATTAATAAATATTTTCATAATCTAAAATTAACAAAATAAAAACTATTTATTATAATATTATTTTAATAAATTATGAGTGAAATGAAAACAGTAACTTACGTTATCTCGTTTTCTCTAATTTATTTAGCTAAAATTGTTCTCTAATTAGATTTTCCAAAAGATATATCTTTCCAAACATCAATAATTTTTATTCCAAAATTAATTTTTATTATGTTTAATATTTTTTTTTCAGGTTGTTATGTTTAATCTTTTTAACTTTTCATTTATCATTCTTTTGTTAGAGAAAGAAGGAGAAGAAGAACAAATAAGAAAGAGAAGAAGGAGGAGAATAAGGAGAAATGATGAATGAGAAGAAAAGTGGATGAAAATGAATAACAACAGAGAAGAAGAAGGAGAAAGAAAAAAGAGAAGAAGTGATGAAGAAGAAAAATGAACGGAGGAGAAGAAGAAGGAAAAAAAGGAGAAGAAAGGATAATAAGAAAGGATGAAGAAGAAGAGGATCGAAGGAGAAGAATGAGAAGTGATGAAGAAGAACCACAAAGAAGAAGAAGAAATGTAGAGAAGGTGAAAAAAAACAGAAAATAAGAATGGAGAAGAAAGAGATTCTATGAAGAAGAAGAAGGCATGAAGGAGGAGGAGAAGAAGAAGAAGGATAATAAGGAGAAGAATGGATGAAGAAAAAAAGGGATGAAGGAGAATATGAATAACAAAGAAAAAGAACAAGAAGAGAGAAGAAGAACAATCAAGGAGAAAGAGAAGAAGGGATAATAAAAAGAAGAAGGGATGAAGGAGAAGACGAAAGAGTAACCAAGTGTCGTTAGCTCGACTGGTAAAGGATCCTAGGCAAAGCTTAGAGGTCACATGATCAAGTGACGCTTGAGACAAAACTAATATTGCATGATGTGGTTTCGGGCCTGCACAGATTGTAGGCTTTGGTCCAGAACCTCATGGTAATCCAAAAAAAAAGAAGGAGAAGAACAGAGAAAAAGAAAGGAGAATAAGAAAAACGAAGGAGAAAAATGAGAATGAGAAGAAAAAAATAGATGAAGGAGGAGAAGAAGAAAAGATGAAGAAGAAGGGATTAAGAAGAAAGAGAAGAAGGAGGAGAATAGAGAGAAGGGATGTATGAGAATAAGAAAGGATGAAAATGAATAACAACAGAGAAGAAGAAGGAGAAAAATAAAAGAGAAGAAGGAGAAGAAGTGATCAAGAAGAAAAAGGAACGAAGGAGAAAAAGAAGAAGAAGAAGAAGGAAAGGAAGAAGAAGAATGTTAATAAGAAGGGATAAAGAAAAAGAAAAATAAAGGAGAAGTGATGAAGAAGAACCATAGAGAAGATGAAAAAAAAATGGAAAAGAAGAACAGAGAAGGAGAATGGATGAAGAAAAAGAAGGCATGTAGGAGGAAGAGAAGATGAGGAAGAAGGATAATAAGGAGAAGAAGGGATGAAGGAGAATACAAATAACATTGAAGAAGATGAAGAAGAAGGGAAAAGAAGAACAACAAAGGAGGAGGAGAAGAAGAGATGAAGGAGAAGACGAAGTTGTAACCAAGTGTTGTTAGCTCAACTGGTAAATGATCCTAGACAAAGTTTAGAGGTTACATGATCGATTGACGCTTGAGATGAAATTAATATTACATGATGTAGTTTTGGGCCTCTAGAGATTGCAGGCTTCAGCTAAGAACCTCATGGTAATCCAAAAAAAGAAGAAGGAGAAAAACGGAGAAGAAGAAAGGAGAATAAGAAAAATGAGAAGGAGAAGAAGAAAAGATAAAGAAGAAGGGATTAAGAAGAAGAAGCAGGAGATACATAAGAAGAAGAAAGAATTTCTGGTTCAGTTTCCAACATGACAAAATCAACAAAGAAAAGGCTAACTATGGAAATGAGCATAGCCAAACCGGAGAGGTGATAGCCGGACTGACAAGCCGAATTGGCGAATCGCAGAACCAAACCGACGAACTGTCGAGCAGAAACAACGAGCCGGATCGATAGAGATGGATTAAACCATTCATGTTTGCCGAACCGGATAGGTGGACCGAACCAACAGGAAAACCGAACCAATGAGTAGAGGTCGGCAAAGATGTGCCAACTCCCAGACCGAGCCAAACCATTTAGTTTTCAAACTAGAGAGATGTGCTGAGCCGGAGAGACAAGACGAATCGGCCGGTAGAACCGAACCAATAAAATTAACCAAATGGGAACCAAGCCATTTCTCTGATGGGCCTAGTGATAGGGCTCAGGTTTTACCCAAATAAAAATTACTGCAAGTGCACAGCAAAGCA